TCAAAAGTAATTTCTCAGTACTTTCCACTGACATAAATTTTAATAAATATTGCCTCTTGAATTCGGAATAAATCGATAAGCTATTTACTAATATATATTTGACATGACGTCATTTACACAGAGGACATGTTTGCAAGACACGGATGATGTTTGATTAAAATCCCTAGCGCCTGGAAAATCTTCATTATATTTTTGGAACAAGTTGATGTTTAAAAGTACTCATTTTATATCAATTCAAATTTGTAAATTTTACCGACAAATTTTTCTTTTTTTCCCCATTGAAAATGCGTAACACTAAATTTTCATCGAATGGGACATCATAAAGGACTTTTATTTCAACAGATGTGGGTATCAATTCTCCTAACAGAGGGTGTCAACAAATATATTATGTCTAAATATGATGTATGAGAACGATCCTGTGAAATATCAGAGATCCGAGAATATTTTTCAACCCTTTTCTAGAATAAACTCTGTTGAAGGTATTTTTCTGTTACAGCGGGACAAGGCGAAAATTGACTTTATTCCGGAATATAGTAGTCTGTCAATGTGTACATAACTTGTAATAATACTTCTTTTCATTACAACATTATTGGTGAGAAAAAAACCTTTATTTTCATATAAAATACTACATGTTTATTATCAAGACTTGACTACAAATGTAAGCTGAAAACGGATTAAGCGTATTATTTCCTATTAGTAGCAATTCCTGACGTTACGTCATGATCATGATCATTTTTAGGCCCATCGGCATATAGATATGCCATAGCAGTCATTAACCTGGACCCAGCTGTGGGAAAATAGCTCTACTGCCTTGTAGATGATTTGGGAGAGTAAAAGGCTACAGGAGTAAACCCCGAAAGAAAATCCAGGGAGAAGGAATTCGTAAACATTGGATTGCAATCTTCTATGGGATGGGCAACCCAGAAAGAAAACCCAGCCCAGCAGAGTGGAGGTTTGACGTACGGCTAAGTACCCTACCCAATAAAAACAACCAGTTACAGAAACTTCAGCAATTGTTAAAAATGAAAACTGGGTCTGCGAAGACTTGAGCCAAAACACAGGCACTATAGCATCTTCTATGAGATTGATTGATAGTCTTCTAAGGCCGAAAGAAAAACTTCGTGTTGAGCATGGAATGTTCGCACGATGTACGAAACATCAAAGACAGCAAAAGTTGCAGATGAAATGCAAAAGATACGAGTACAAGTAGGATATATTTTGAATAAATGAATGCCGATGGATTAAATCAGGCAGTATTACAATTGTTAGTGGCCATACAACATTGTTCTCGGGGCACAATGGCAAAAATTCAAGTGGGGTTGCAATGATCATAAGCATAAGCAAATAGAAGACCAAAACACTGCTGGAATTGGAACCAATTAGTTATAGTCTAATTATAGTAAGATTCAACTCCAAATACCGTAAACTGTCAATCATACAATTTTATCAACCAACAAACGATGTCGAAGAATAAGTGATAGATGAATTTTATGAAGTTACAGATAGTTGTCTCTAAAGTCTCTCAGCACGACATGCTGCTTATAAAGGGAGACGTGAATGCAAAACTGGGTACTGACAACACTGACTGTGAGAAATCTATATGCACACATGGCTGTGGAATTAAGAATGACACTGAAGAGCGCTTAATTGACTTCTGTCTCAACAACAATTAAACGATAGAAAGCACAATATCTTCTCACAAAGATACACAAAAAATCATGTGGAAATCTCCAGATGGTAGAACAACAAACCAGATTGATCATGTAAGCTGTAAATAAGATGTGGCGCAAATCCCTACAGGATGTTAAAGTATACTATGGAGCAGACGTCAACAGTGACCACTATCTGTTGAAAACCACCATTAAACTAAAACTTTGCAGAGATTCTAAAAAAGCAAGAGACGAAAAGGAGGATCGATGTGGAAAAGTTAAAGATACGAGACACACAAAAAGCTTTCAATCTGGTATTGAATTCAAGGTTCTTGAAGAAAGCATTGATGTTGTTGAAGATATTCGAGAAAGGTGGGACACGATCAAGAAAGTGTATATTAAAGCCGCCGAAGAAACTGTAGGCTACCGAATAAAAAAGAACAAAGAATGGCTAACACCTGGTACATGGGAAAAAATAGGAACATAAAGCAGAAAAACATCAGTACCAAATCTGCAAGCTAGATTACAAGAACAGCTACAAGATTCTTATAAAATAAATGATAAAGATGTCAAGCGATGTGCTAGGAGGGATCGGCGAATGTATGTTGACAGTCTGGCAACTAAACGAGCTGCTTCACAATAACGAAAGAACTATGTGGATGCATTGTGGATATCAACCTTTTTTTTGAAAGATAAAGATAGTTACCCACTGGCAATAGAACACAAACATACCAACCGTTGGGTACAATATTTCCAGGAAGTACTAAATTGTCCAGAACCCGGTGAAGCAGCAAGTCCAGAAACCGCAGTTGAAGACTTGGCTAGAACCAGCAACTCTCGAGGAAGTCCAAAACTGTATTAAATCATTGAAGAATTGCAAATCCTCAGGCAATGGCTGCATACATGCTGAAATCAGATATTGCAACACCATCAAAAACGCTGTTCGATTTATTCATACGCATCTGGGGAAAATGAAACAATACCACATGACTGGAGTAAAGGAATCGTTGTAAAGCTTCCAAAAAAGGAGGTCTCCAAATATGTGACAGTTGGAGAGGTAACACTGCTCTCAGTCCCCAGCAAGGTGTTCTGTAAAAAAAAAATGCTGAACAGAATAGACAATTAAAGTAATTGAAAAAAAACTAGAGCAAGCTGGGTTTAGGAGAAAGAGGGTGTATAGACCAATCTTTTGCCAATTCCTAACTCTGTAGAACAGTGTATAGTCTGAGATCCAAGTTCCAACTTTTCAATGTTAAATCAATTCTCCTGTATGGATCTGAGCGTGTTGGTGACAGCGACATAAGAAAAGAAGAGGCATTCCACAACAGCTATCTTCGAAAAATCCACTGTATCTTCTGGACAAACAAGATCTCGAACAGAAATCTGCCTAAGAAAAGCAGGAGCATACCAACTGAAATCAAGCAAATAAGATTGAGATGACTGGGACATGTGATGAGAATGCCCCTGAGTAGGAAACCTAAAACAGCAATTTATTGGACATCATATGGAAAGAGGAAACGAGTTAGATCGTGGTTTTGGCAAAGTTAACAATAAATGGGTAATTTTTGAAAGAAAAAGTTTTTACTACTATTATTTTACCAAGATATGTATAATATGTCTCTTTTCCCAGTGGCTCATTTCTTTGTCATAATTACATTTATTCTGTTAATAAAATTCATTTTTTTTCAATATTGTCAAGATCGGGATTAAATATTAAACCCAATATTTATGTCTCAGTTGACCACAAACAGTTTGAATTTGAAAACAACCACAGCATTGATTTTGCGAGATGTTGACCATAAACAAGATAGTTGAAAGCCCTGTAACAGCAACTTATTTGTCAGTTGACAATAATGAGTAAAAAATTATAGTACTCTGAGCAAACTCTTGCGCACCGAATCAACTGGAAAACATAAATTATAAATGATGGCGATAAGTTTCTAAGGAAACTGCACTGCTATATGTAAAAGATTTCAAAGTTGTCCTGTTTGATCAACAGTATTATAGGTAAATATACCAATGTTTAATTATTAAGATTGTATTGTTATGGACCTTTTTTCTTTGCAAAAACTATTTTGTCTTTTCACTCAAAATCAGATTCGCATTTTTTTTTTTACATTTTGATGTAAAAAATGGCTTGCGTGGTCCATTTGTTCTTTTTAGCTCACCTGAGCCAAAGGCTCAAGTGAGCTTTTCTGATCACAATTTGTCCGTTGTCTGTCGTTGTCGTTGTTGTCGTCGTCGTTGTTGTTGTAAACTTTTCACATTTTCATCTTCTTCTCAAGAACCACTGGGCCAATTTCAACAAACTTGCCGTAAAGAATCCTTAGGTGAAGGGGATTCAGGTTTGTTCAAATGAAGGGCCACGCCCTTTTCCAAGGGGAGATAACTATGAATTAGAGAAAAATTAATGGAATTTTTAAAAAGTCTTCTTCTCAAGAACCACTGGGCCAGGAAAGATGAAACTCATGTGGAATCATCCTCAGGTAATTTAGATTCAAGTTTGTTCAAATCATGACCCCCGGGGGTAGGGTGGGGCCAAAATGGCCGATCAAAGTTTTACATAGTAATATATACTGGAAAAATCTTTAAAAATCTTCTTCTCAAGAACCACTGGGCCAGGAAAGATGAAACTCATGTGGAATCATCCTCAGGTAGTGTAGATTCAAATTTGCTCAAATCATGACCCCAGGGGGTAGGGTGGGGCCAAAATGGCCAATCAAAGTTTTACATAGGAATATATAGGAAAAATCTTCTTCTCAAGAACCACTGGGCCAGGAAAGATGAAAGTCATGTGGAATCATCTCCAGGTTGTCTAGATTCAAGTTTGTTCAAATCATGACCCACTGGGGGGGTTAAAATTCAAGCCCCCCCCCCCCCCTCCCGTCAACTTTCAGTTCTGATCTGATATGTGCTTTATCCTAGCCAATTGCCCCTGGGCCTCTTGTTTTCTTCTTTGAATTATTCTCTATTTCATATTTATTGAAAAATCAATAATGATAAATAAATTATTTATTTACTTTATTATTAAAAAATCACCAAAGTTTATGACTGAATCATATTGAGAACATGTACATCAAGGATCTAATAATAATTGTATATAGGTTAAGAGTTATCTTTCTTAGATATATAGAAATAGCCTAATTTATATTTTGTCACATGAGTTACAATGTATATTTTATCATATGCTATTGATTTAATGATATTAAACTATTTATTTTTATAGTCATTTATATCATATTTAATTAAGGTTTTTTCAGAGCTTCATGTGGCATTTCGGTGAATCGGTTGTAGTTCTACGATATCTGATGGACGTTTAGCGATTTACGCTTATTAGTTAGACCAATTAAAATGGCGGGTGAAGTTGAAAATCCACAGAATACTGTTTCTGGGATTAATTTAAGCAGACTAAGAGAAAAAGTAAAATTTTACATCGAAAAGGTATGTGTAATATTATTCATGTCCATCCATTTCTTGTATGGAGGTGTAGAAATGGAAAATTGAGTTGTGGATTGTTATGCATGCAAAGTTCGAAATTCCTCGTAGTGCGTTTTTTAAGCTATGGAGGATCTCTTTATTATATTTCCTAGTTTTTGTAAAGGATCTGCCTGAAGATGACCATCAAATTTGTCTTTACCCAAAGGATGTCATTTCTGTCTCACCCCAGGCAGGGATTTCACGTGACTTCCAGGCCACAAGCTTTTTTCTGTAATAAATTTTTAACCCTTGGTATAATATTAACACAAGGTATTTAAATCCGGATTACATGGATTGCCCACCCCCTTCTTAGCATTGCACTCATTTTCATTTTTATACTAAACATACTGGGAAGCCGTTTATAATTATTTTCATCTATGATGATGCCCAAAAGGCCCTGCACTGTATTGGAAGAAGAAGATAATTTATCTACATAATCATATGTAAATAGCTTTCTTATTTATCTTCATTCTATACCGTAGCGGGTATTTTTAGCTGGGTGCAAACTTTGGCAGTATACTGTATGTGTGCATAAATTGGTGTATCCAATATTTAGGGTAAGGCCTAAAATAAAAATATGTTTGTTTCCTGTAACCCGACCGACCCATTCAAATTACCCCGGGTGGATTTTTTTTTCTGACAAATGGCAAAACTTCGTTTGATCAATCAGCTGATTCCCAGTCTATGCGAAAGTCACCGGACCGTCGGTTTTTACTGGTAAAATTTAGGTCGGGTCGGTAAAAAATTTCAGTATACAGGACTAAATGTCCGATAAAAAATAAGGCCAAATAAAGCTAAATAAAGAGGTACACATGGTCCAATTCCCCACAAATATCTTATATTTGACCAATTTAGCAGAAATACTTGATTAATTTTTATGTATTACAACCCTGTCATGATCGTTTTTATTCTAATTCGAATTTCCTCTGTCAAGGGTTAGAGATCTTAAGATAGCTCATACGTAGATTTGGTTGGGAAAATATTTAGATAGCTCATACGTAGATTCGGTAGTGAAATTATTTTCAAATGATCATTGAACTTGAGTAACCATAATGAGTTGTTTCAGGAAAAAAATATGCATTGAAAGTGCATATTAAATTTAAGAAAATCTTTGATACATTGTGTATATGTTGTATAAGTCAAATGTGAAGAAAAAATGCATGAAATTGTTAAAATAGATACTTTTTACAAAGGAAAATTATAAATAGTTTTAAAACTTGTCCATTTCACTCTGAATTTATTTAAGGTTAAATTTCACAGTGACAATTAACCCCATCCCACTCACCCTCTCAATCTCAGTATCATAATGATGCATTGATTTAAAGGAAAAAAGTCGGTCTGGTAAGAAATTGCTTGGTCTGGTAAAAATTTTATTTTTACCAGACATTTTGTCCTGTAAAAATTTTAAACTTTCGCGTAGACTGGATTCCATTTATTAGATAAAAAAATTAGCTTGTAGCTTAACTTGAGACATAAAATATGTCAACCTAGTTTACATTTACCTTAGTTATAAAGAGTAATCATTATTGTAACAACAATTTCCCCCTACAACTTTCTGAAGTTCGTTTTCTGCCGCTAGGCAGCCATTTTGGATGCCATGTTGGGTGTCCACTGTAAATATGACACCTGGTATATTCAGTCCGGGGATGTTTGACCATTCAAAAAAAAAAAAAAAAAAAAAAAAAAAAAAAAAAAAATTCCCGACCTACCGACCCTTAATTTTTTAGCTCACCTGAGCCGAAGGCTCAAGTGAGCTTTTCTGATCACATTTTGTCCGGCGTCCGTCTGTCCGTCCGTCTGTCTGTCTGTAAACTTTTCACATTTTCGACTTCTTCTCAAGAACCGCTGGGCCAATTTCAACCAAACTTGCCACAAAGTATCCTTGGGTGAAGGGGATTCAAGTTTGTTCAAATGAAGGGCCACGCCCTTATTCAAGGGGAGATAATTCAGAAATAGTAAAAATTTTGTAGCATGTTTTGAAAATCTTCTTCTCAAGAACCACTGTGCCAAGAAAGATGAAATTTAAGGGGAAACATCCTCAGGTAGTGTTGATTCAAGTTTGTTCAAATCATGACCCCCGGGGGTAGGGCGGGGCCAAAATGGCCGACCAAAGTTTTACATAGAAATATATAGGAAAATTCTTTAAAAATCTTCTTCTCAAGAATGACAAAGCCATAATTCATCATATTTATATGGGAGCATGCTCATGTAGTGTAGATTTAAGTTTGTTCAAATCATGACCCCCCGGGTAAGGGCGGGGCCAAAATGGCCGACCAAAGTTTTACATAGAAATATATAGGAAAATTCTTTAAAAATCTTCTTCTCAAGAATGACAAAGCCATAATTCATCATATTTATATGGAAGCATGCTCAGGTAGTGTAGATTCAAATTTGTTCAAATCATGACCCCCGGTGGTAGGGCGGGGCCAAAATGGCCGACCAATGTTTTACATAGAAATATATAGGAAAATTCTTTAAAAATCTTCTTCTCAAGAATGACAAAGCCATTATTCATCATATTTATATGGAAGCATGTTCAGGTAGTGTAGATTCAATTTTGTTCAAATCATGACCCCCGGTGGTAGGGCGGGGCCAAAATGGCCGACCAAAGTTTTACATAGAAATATATAGGAAAATTCTTTAAAAATCTTCTTCTCAAGAATGACAAAGCCATAATTCATCATATTTATATGGAAGCATGTTCAGGTAGTGTAGATTCAAGTTTGTTCAAATCATGACCCCCCGGGGTAGGGCGGGGCCAAAATGGCCGACCAATGTTTTACATAGAAATATATAGGAAAATTCTTTAAAAATCTTCTTCTCAAGAATGACAAAGCCATAAATCATCATATTTATATGGAAGCATGCTCAGGTAGTTTAGATTCAAGTTTGTTCAAATCATGACCCCGGGGGGTAGGGAGGGGCCAAAATGGCCGACCAATGTTTTACATAGAAATATATAGGAAAATTCTTTAAAAATCTTCTTCTCAAGAATGACAAAGCCATAATTCATCATATATATATATGGAAGCATGCTCAGGTAGTGTAGATTCAAGTTTGTTCAAATCATGACCCCCCGGGGGTAGGGCGGGGCCAAAATGGCCGACCAAGGTTTTACATAGAGATATATAGGAAAATTCTTTAAAAATCTTCTTCTCAAGAATGACAAAGCCATTATTCATCATATTTATATGGAAGCATGTTCAGGTAGTGTAGATTCAAGTTTGTTCAAATCATGACCCCCGGGGGTAGGGCTGGGCCAAAATGGCCGACCAAAGTTTTACATAGAAATATATAGGAAAATTCTTTAAAAGTCTTCTTCTCAATCATTTTCTAAAAAATAGCAAATCCATGATTGGTCATGGGACTACTTTTGGATTTAAACTTTACAATAAAAATCCATTTTATACTAGTCCTACCCTTGGTGCTCAGGTGAGCGGTGTGGCCCATGGGCCTCTTGTTTTGAATGTTACAGGAAACAAACATTTTTTTTTAAAGCCTAATCACTGGTTATAGAGTTATTGGCGTTTTAGGAATTAATGCTTCACATTTCTGTGCCTTTTATTCATATATATGATTTATTAGCTGTATTTATGAATCAGCACATTGGTATGAATGCTAAAGGCACTGAAATGTGAGGCCTGCTCTTTTAAGTACAAATAATTCGATTTGGTATTTTTGGTTTTTTAGCACCAGCATGAGTCTGCATTGTTCTGGGCAGATAAAATTGTATCACTCTCCAATGGTAAGAATACTCATAAAATCTAACATAGATAATTTGATATCAGTGACCTGTGTGATTAAGGTTAAAATCTTTGATTTATTAAGAGGCAGGATCTGAATGCAATAAAGATCTACTGAACTTTTAAATGTTTGCAAGTCCGTTACTCATGATAACATTTGTCAAGGTGAGCATGGTGAGCTTCATAATCTTTGGTCACCTTGTATGCCTATATTACATCATATGATATTACTTTGAAGTTAAACATTCTCGTGTAAATGCTGTTTTTTGATCATTTACAGGTAACCCTGATGATGTTTACTGGTATGCCCAGACCCTGTACCTGACTGGACAGTATCACAGAGCCTCCCAGCTCCTGAGGTCAAGAAAACTGGACAAGGTTCTATACACAAAAACCATATTATCAGTTTGTCACAAAACTCTCACTTTTAAGTTTTAACTTTTGCACATCCTTTTTCAAATAAAATGTGTGTCAAGAAAAAATTTCCAACGATCTTCTAGAAAATCACTCAAGATTTGTTTTCGTTCTATTCTTTTTATAGTAGATATTAGTGTTTTATCTCTTTTTGAAATAAAGAGTGATAAACATTTAAACTTTCTTCCTTTTTGTTGAAAACTTTTCATTATAATTATGCCATATTATTTGTTCTTTCAGAACAACTCCGCTTGCCGTTACCTAGCAGCTAAATGCCATGTGAGTATAATGAGTGAATTCATTTTAAAAACATACACTTCATGATAATTGGATGAAAAATGTCAAATAATTCATCTTTTTTTTCTCAGTTTGAATGCAAAGAATGGCAGACAGCATTGAACATACTGGATATGGTGGAGAACAACAGTTTCCTCCCTTCCTTCAGCAAGCACAATCTTACAGACTCTCTCTATGACCAGAGTCACAAAGAGGTATGGGGGAAATGAAATACAGAGTCACTAGGAGGTATCGGGGAAATAAAATACAGTCACAAGGAGGTATGGTGGAAATAAAATACAGAGTCACAAGGAGGTATGGTGGAAATAAAATACAGAGTCAAGAGGAGTAAGAGGGAAATAACATACAGAGTCAAGAGGAGTTAGGGGGAAATAACATACAGAGTCAAAAGGAGTTAGGGGGAAATAAAATACAGAGTAAAGAGGAGGTAGGGGGATAAAATCCTGATCTTAAGATAGAGAGGTCTTAAATCGGGGGCTTATTGCAAGACTGAAGAAAGTAATCACAATTAAACTGAGGATAAGAATCATATATCATCGAGACTCAAAAACTTTGCAATATTATGTATTGTAGATCACTTTATTTGCACAAGAAATATGGAAAAATGAAACTTGTAATAATGAAGGTCTTGCTAATTGAAGTGAATTACTGTATACATGTTTTCCATTTCTATAGAATTCATTCCATTTTGTAGATTCAAAAATTCTTTTTGAAAAAAAAAGAAATTATAAATCTGATAGTACAGTTAGATAAGTGAAAGCTATGCATCACAGTCTTTCTAAGTAAGGTAACTGTGTGATAGGTGGAGCAGTCATACAATCTTTCTAAGTTTGGTAGCTGTGTTATAGGTGGAACACTCAATCAACCTACTGAGGGGGAGGATATATGAAGCCATGGACAACAGGAACCTGGCCGTGGACTGTTTCCGGGAGGCGCTGCGACAAGACGTGTATTGTTTCGAGGCGTTTGATTTGTTGGTTCATCACCACATGTTGTCTTCCCAAGAAGGTATCCCTTGTCAATCTTATTATAGTTATAAATCATTGTAATTTGTTCATTAGATAGCTTGCAAGATTTATTTACTCTGAGGAAATGGAATAGATTTTTTCTCTTTCTCATTTCAGAGCGGGAGTTGTTAGATACTTTACCATTTGCTGTCCAGTGCCCCGTAGAAGAAGTAGAACTAATTCGATATTTATATGAAAATAGAATCAAAAAGGTTAGATTTTCCTTCTTAAGATTGTAATATATTTTTTTTAATTTAATCCTCTTCTTTGGCACACATAAAAGAATGTTTAATGAATTTATGATAAAGATAAAGATGAATTTTGAATGGAATATATGTCTAATATTTGATCATTTAGAGTATTATATATTTTGAAGATTTTTTTTTTTTTGTATGGGAACAGTATGACAAGCCAAAAGAGCACAGAGTTCCAGGATCCTTGTCTTGTTTAAATAACAATAAAGACATTGTTGTTAATGTGGCCGAGAGACATTACTATAACTGTGATTTCAGGGAGTGTCATAAAATTACAACAAAGTAAGTCTTACAGTCAGAAACAAACATCTTATTATAAAAAAAAATGTGTAATTATTAACGGTTGTGTAATTATTAACGGTTGTAGTTTTGGGCATTCTTGGTCAATTACCGTGATAAATAGTCATTTAAAAATGTCAGTCAGATTCATTTATTTCCTTACAAAAATTAGAAAAAGTTCTGGAATAAGAGTTTAAAAAGTTGTAAAAATAGGTAATTATTTTTTAACACTTCTTAATAAATAAACATTTGAAGACTACAAGAATACTACAGTAATACATGTATATAATTTAGCTTTTTAAATATTTTTTTCTATACAGAGTGATGAGTGATGACCCTTACAATACTCAGTGTTTACCCATTCATATAGCAGTGTTAGTGGAACTCAGAAAAGCCAAAGGTAAGGTTTACATTAATGCTGACATCAGAATCACCCAGCACAAGAAAAAATAGCTGTATGGTTTGGAGATATAATGTTCATGTACTTTCATTTTATTGACAGATTTGTTTTACCTCTCTCACAAGCTTGTGGATTTATACCCTAATGATCCTGTAAGTTTTCTTGAGTCTAATAAGCTTTATAAGTCTATTTTATATTTAACACTTGTGAATATGAAAAGCTTTACGATATTAACTAAATGGCTTTGAAAATTAATAAGTTAATGTTTGGATGTAGGTTTCCTGGTTTGCTGTGGGATGTTACTATTTACTGACAGAGAAGAGTGAGCCTGCTCGGCGATATCTCAGGTAAACACAAATATCTTACGTTAACAAACAGATATCTCAGGAAAACAAACATATCTCAGGTAAACAGACAGATATCTCAGGTTAACAGATATCTCAAGTAAACACAGATATCTTACATTAACAAACAGATATCTCAGGTAAACAAACATATCTCAGGTAAACAGACAGATATCTCAGGTAAACACAGATATTTCAAGTAAACACAGATATCTTACATTAACAAACAGGTATCTCTGGTAAACAGTAAGGTATTTAAGGAACACTTTCTGAAGTTTCAAGCACACTCTTATCTTCCTGTAATTATTGATATCTGATATAGTAAGACTGATGTCTATCTAAGACATCCAGATAAACCTTCAAATCATCCTTTTTGATTCAAATGGTGTCAATAAGTAAAAGAAATATGAAAATCTAAATTTTTTCATCTAGATTTATTACAATATAAAAACACACTTAGGCCATATAAAATTGAAATCTTGGTTCTCAGGCCAATTTTCTCCAAAACTGATGCGGGAGGGCGGCATTTTATTTTTCATTTTATTGGCAATAAAGTAGATGAGGGAGGTATTTTTTTTATTTTAATTTCCGAATTTTCTTTAACATAAAGATAATTTTTTTAATCACAGATATACTTTCCATTTCTGGTCAAAATTTCTGCTTTATCCATTGCTTAACAGCGTGTAAACATCGTAGGTAATGTCCTCGAATGTATTTTCAAACGAAGTAGCCAAAATCTCATTGTAAATGGCTACCGGAAGTGATATTTGAATACTAAACTACGAAGCAAATGAGGTCGGAATTTTTTTTCCTGGATTGGTCTCCGCAATACCAACTTTTTATTTTATCAAAAATACAATAAAATCGGCAATGCGGCTACCTCAAAACGGATGCGCGCGGGCCTGAGAACCAAGATTTCAATTTTATATGGCCTTACAAAGAAGTTAAATATATTTAAATTTTTAATACATTTAAAAACTAAATGGAATAAAAAATCACTTTCCTATAAGTGTGAATTCTGTATCAGTGTGTTTGCTGTAATCTATTTTACTGCTTCCAGGTAACCACTAATGTTTTGTGAATACGAGTTGAATTTGCAGGGGCCTGGGGGCGAGTGAAGTTTATCTCACATTTTTTATACCGTTTAAGCAGAGATTTTAGCGAGGATTTGATTTTGGCATTATTAGCGAGGGTGCTGAGATCGCTAAAATTGAATATCGCTAAAAATTAATTGCGTTTTATTTCTTATAGCTTCTTCAGTGAGAATTCTTAAATCGCTAAAATTTCATCTCGCTAAAAATAAAATACCACTTTTTAAGGATAAATCGCTAAATTTGCGTCTCGCTAAAATTTCCACCTATACGGTATATGTTTTTCCTTAAAATTCTAGTCATACTGAACAGAAAAAATCCAGATATATATATATATTCTGCATACCCTGGTATAAGCGTTTATCTTATATTTAATCTTTTGAACACAGTAAGGCTACAACACTGGATCGTGTGTATGGGCCGGCCTGGCTGGCGTTTGGACACTCCTTTGCAGCTGAGAACGAACACGACCAGGCCATGGTGGCATATTTCACCGCGTCACAGCTGATGAAGGGCTGCCACCTACCACTCCTGTATATAGGACTAGAACATGGCCTAACCAACAACTTCAAACTGGCCGAGCGGTTCTTCAGTCAGGCTCTCAGTATCGCCCCAGAGGACCCCTTTGTGTTACATGAGATGGGAGTCATAGCATTCAAAAGCCAGGAGTAAGAACTGTATTTAGTTTTTCTCCATTATATTTGTGTCACAGGTACTTGTCTTAGTACATGCTATCGGATTGACTCAGCATTCCAGTCAAAGAATTGAAAAATCCTTAGGTAAAGGCAATGGAAGTACACCAAGATTGTTTCACTTATTACAAAAACATCCATGTGAGTTTTGGCCTGACGTAATAATCTCTCTCACGTGTTATCATTAAAGGTAATATATTCTCAATGCTCTACCTTTGCGTTTACCTACAGATTTTTTAATGCTTTGACTGGAACGCTGTTTAAGGAGAAATTGTGTGATTCTTACAAAGATGCAGATTCAATCCGAAAGCTTGAACCTAGAAAGAAATATATGACATTGTCATAACCATTGCTTTAGCTCAATGTGGGGCCTTGTTTGACATTGTCACAAAGATTGCCATTATAAATCATGGTAGTGTTTATTAGTGTTTCAGCAGATCTACTAAGAAGAATGACCAGAGCTGTATTAATGATACATGTATATGAATACTTGGTAGGTGGAGCACAGCTGAGAGATATTTTATGGACGCCCTCAGAATTTTAGAAAATATTGGACGAGAAGTGATTGTGGAAAAATGGGAACCTCTCTTAAATAATCTAGGACACACATACAGAAAATTAAGGTAGGTATTCCAATTTTTTGCAGCATAGAATGAGTACATTGCATGTCCAAGATATCTTCAGAGTTTTCACATAAAGGACTACCACAGAAATATATATTCTCCATGTTGTATTGAGGTATAAATATAAAGAATAGATTATTACAACAATTTCTATAATTTGTTGAATGTTTTAAAGATTCCTTACTAGATTAAACACACACTAACTTGAAAAAGTCACTTAACTGAATGTGTTAGATACTATTGTAATTAATGTGTGTGTAAATTTTGAGTGGTTAATCAGTATTTGAAAAATCTTTACTTTCCAGAAATTATGACAAATCCTTGGAGTATCACAAACGAGCAGGAATTCTATCCCCTCAGAATCCTTCCACCTACTCTGCCATCGGATATACGTACGTCCTCAAGGGAGACAACTTAATGGCCGTGGACTATTTCCATAAAGTAGGTCAAGCAGAAATTACTGTGAAAGTATCGTATTTGTCATTGTGTACTATTAAGCATCATTTACAGTAAATGGTTTCTCTAAATCAAGTTCATCACTAAATGTCTTAAAGTTTATTCAAATTATGCATATTCTAAAAGCACTCTATAAAATCTTCACTACATGCGTAACTTTTCTGAAAATCCATTGCAACCAGATATCATACACTTTGAATATTAAACATTTATAGTATCATATCAGAATAAACACATTTGCATATGTAAAGTCTCTACTGTATTGTTATTTTTGTGGCAGGCACTTGGGATTCGTCGAGATGATCAATTTTCCACCACTATGCTGTCTAGTGTTATAGAGACCTTAATGTCCGAGATGGACCCCTGTGAAGGTATTCTATCAGACAGTGTTTCTGTTTACTTATTGTGAGCATTTCATTAGCTTGGTAGAACGTCCATTATGCACTCTATAAAGCACGAAAAGCCACATATTGTTCTTAGAATTACACAAGATTAATTTGAGAAAGACATCTTATTTTCTGGCAGTGACAGTCATATTTCATTGATATGATTTTACTTCACGGTTAGTTTTTACATAAGAGGATACTCATTTCTTCATCCAGGTGCTTCAGAAGATTTCCCAGCATTCCCTACTCCGGGGAAGTTAGAGTTTTCTCACAGCAGTAGTCAGGAACTGAGCGACCTTGACATTAACCCTGAGGACAACTCAAGCATGGCCATAGAAGAAGTAGAAATGGATGACTGACTTGTGTTGAACCCTGAGTGATTGGTTGGAATTTGAAGGCTCATCTCATAGAGAGATGATCATGGAAATATGTATACATCCCAGAGTGAAGGCATACTGGCCCACTAATGTATTTTATCCACATGTTGAATATCCAATAAATTTTCCAGGAAGTAGCAATGGGTCTCATCAAATCATTTTAAACTAGTGCTAATTGTAACGGGAACCGTTACAGATGTTCCCCAAACGCTCCCCAACTCCTTTTTTGTGCCGTATTCCCTGTAAGCTTAATTAAATAAGACAAACTCTGTGCATTTTTGACTTTAACAACGTTTTCTCAGAAGGATACCAATTATATTCAAATTTTAGCATTGCACCCGTGCGCATGTTAATGCATGTGCGTTATATTATAACTCATAAACATATCATCTTGTCTACACTATCTACATATTTAAATATACAATATATTAAAGCATTCGGTCCAAAAGAATGAAAAATCACTCTTTCAAATGTATTTTTATTTCACTCGTTCCAAATGCACGCACGTGCGTGCACGTGTATGATGACCATACCTTCCTGTAGGAGTCCCGTTATATCTATCTATGTTCTAAATCCCATCCTGTTTGGTTGAAAAACAAGGGAGTTTTAGCCATTTCAAGTTTAAGCCAATCAGATTGCAGCGCATGTGCATGTGCGTGATTTCATGTTTTTTTTCTAAATCATATTGTAGGATATCCTAATGCATGACTATGTTTTAAATTTCAAAGCATTTCGTCAAAAAACAAAGGAGATATAGCCATTTAAAGTTTCAGCCAATCAGATTGCAGCACACGGGCATGCGCATGCTTTCACGAAAATTCTTATACATCATGCTGTAGATCTTCATAATGTAGGTCTATGTTCAAAATTTCAAAGGATTATGACAAGAAACAAGAAAGATATTGAGACTTTAGTTTCAGCCAATCAGAGCGAAGCGCACGTGCATGCGCGTAAAATCTTACTTTTTTGACCATGTCATTTTGTCTTAGCTTCTAATATATACTTATAATATGAGTTTCAAAGCATTTCATCAATAATTTAAATAGTTACGTCTGTATCAATTATATTAGACATTTCTCGTGTTGCACGTGCGAGCTCTTGCAAGCACATGTGCATGCACATGTGCATGCACATGTGCATGCACATGCTTTCATGATAAATCTTATAATACAGGCTGTAGATCTCCCTAATATATGACTATGTTCAAAATTTCAAATGATTTTATCAAAAAACAAAAAAGATATTGAGACTTTAGTTTCAGCCAATCAGAGCGAAGCGCACGTGCATGCGCGTGCGATCTTGCTATTCTGACCATGTCATCTTGTGCTTACTACTAATATATCCTTACATTATAAGTTTCAAAACATTTCGTCACAAAATAGAAAAGTTACGGTTATATCCATTTTATATTGGTCATTTTAAGTTTTGCACGTGCGCGCTCTTGCAAGCACGTGCGCGCAAAATGACCTTGATTCCGCAAATCTACATAACATGCCTACTTACCCTAAAAAGGTTTCATCTATGTCAGATGTGTAGTTTACAAGATCACTCGCGGACAAAATTTTCCCAGGAAGAAAAATAAGAATAAGAATAATAACTAGATGAGAAACTCGTTGCGAGCAACGAGAGGTCTTCCGTCCGATTCCGGAAAGAAAACGTAAAATCGAGCTGAAAAAGTAAAAATAAAATTGCACACAAGGAGAATTGAACCCATGTCACCAGCATGAAATTCCGACGGCACTAAATATTACGCTATCGGGACCTCTTCTCTAAATCTATTTATATATATTTACGAAACAGTGATTCTCTTTTAAAATTATGAAAGGCGGGTCACTATTCAAAATTTAGCACTAAACGCCACGAGTTAATCTTCGCGCCTTTTCTTTGGAATGTTCTAGTAAATAGGTGTGATAGCTTCAATGAAATAAAAAAAAAAGAATGTTCTTATAGCCTAAGATTCGAGGTTTAGAAAGTATATTTAACACATTTTACAAATTCCATATGGTATATATGCCTGTAACACTAAAGCGGTGAAACGGTTATGAATTTCTAATTTTTTTCAATTTCCTGTTTATCCCCAAAGTGAACTATCCCGATTAGTTAATTGAAAAAGGTTGAAACGTTTCGCCGAAAAACATGGCTCGCCCTACGACGGTCAAGGAATCAGATATCATTTATGCTCAATAACTTTAATCAGGTCTTTGAGACAAGAATGCTAAAATAAACTCCATGAAGCGATCTTTAAAAAAATCGTCTTCTTATTTTTGTCTTATTTATTAGTTTAATATGACACAAGTGTGCATAGGAAAAACAGTGGTTAAGATTTCTACTGACAATATTAATCAATATTCTTTTTTGAGAAAGTATTACTTATAAATATGATGAGATCTATTTTCCGTGGTGCACAAAAGATATTAGGTATCGAATTTCATTTGCACATTTAGTCTTTTCTTTCTCAACTTTGGGAACTAGCCAAAACCAATTATAGAAGACGTTAGTATGACACAGAACTGCAACGTAACTACGACGTGACTATCCAAGTATTCCTATACATTTCATTTATCCTTATGTTATTTTCATTCAAGCAAACGCTCGACTGCCTCCGTAAATCCCTATTGCGAAATGTCGGCGTTGACAGAGACAGCCGCCATTTTGGACCCGCTTCAGATTTTTGAATGCTAATATCTAGAGTTTAGATTGATCAACATTCAAACAAATCATATAGTAAGCATTATCAGGAGGGTTTCTATTAACAAACCAAAAATAAATGCAAAATACTGAAAAACAAAAAAGTTAGAAAATACAATTTTTTTAAATTTGCATCTCGTAACAACCGGAAGAACTGACGACGCACAAAAAGGTGATTCTGCAAACCACAAAGTCACGAAGTATCGTCTCCAATAAGTCTACAGGTCATATCTTTAGCCATTTTCGAAAAAAAGGGGCGACAAAATTGCATTTTAAAATCAGGAAATTTCCCATAACTTGGCACCAGAAGCAAATTTCCAAATTTCCTTAAAAATGTATCAAGTTCATCTTATTGCGCATAATTCCTGAAAATTTCATAGAAATCCGAGGAATAGTTGCTGAGAAATCGCGTGCACAAAATTTTGGGGAAAAAAATAAGAATAATAATAATAATAATAAGAAACAGTAGAATAACTATAAGGTCTTCCGTGAAGACGGAAGACCTTAATAATAAGAAACAGAGTAAAAACAATATGTTCCCCAACTTCGTTTGGGGAACATAATTAGGGGCCTCTGAATATGTTTGCATTCATACCATATCTGTCAGATATCCATATATTATATCAAGTGATATAAGTAACTTCATCTTTGCTAGCCAAGGATTTCTGATACGCTACTCTCCTCACGAACCCTTGGCATACGTTGAAGTCAAAAGATGGGATTGTTTGAGTCAAGTGATTTAGAATCTATCAGGTAGACACAGATTGCGTCATCGACAGAAATAAAGACGTGTGTTAAAAAAAAATTAAATCAGTTTTAATTTTCAAGAAAAATTAAGAAGCAATAATTGAGTTATAGTTATTTATTATTTATAGTACAAATCTGAACATCATTATAATTTTAATCACATACTTAAAAGATATTGGATGACACCATAGCTATTCATAGAATTGCATGTTATCTTACGGATCATTTACAAAAAAACAATTGCTGATTGGTCGACCGGATGTACCGAATCCCAATCAGAACTCGAGAAAAAAAAACGCAACTTCTATCAACCCCGTATGCCAAGGGATTATGAGGAGAATAGCGTATCAGAAACCCTTGGCTAGCGAAGATGAAGTTACTTATGGTTACTGGTAATTTATACTTAATATTCAGAACGTACACAATTACAAGATGTATCATGTGCAATTTGTAATTAATGTAATTATCATGGGATTGTTCATTGAAATTTTATTATGATGGAAGAATTGATTTGATATTGATTCATTTCAATAATATTCATAGTGATAATGTTAATATTGTGTATGATATGAAAGAAAAAAAATGAAATATGAAATTTCTATAAAACTGTGTTGGCTGTAGTTTGAGTCTGGAAGAAAACAGTATATATAAGAAATAAGGAAAGCATAAACAGTTTATAACAATTATGAAGTTAAAAAAAAAATCACAATAATTTTAATACCTTTTAAAAATTATTTCAGTCATAGAAGTAGTTAGAGTACTTCTTTTCATTGTATATTTTTGAAGCATGTTGGTTATCTGGTATTGTTGGTATGTAAGATACACATACACCAGAGGACAAATCTGCCAAAATATTTAGTTTTAGTTCTTATTCAATTTTAAAGAGTTTCTTGATCTTGACAGATGTGTTACCAAGCAATTCTTACTTAATATCTGACTTCTAGAGTTGTGAAATGAATCCCAGTCAACTATACATGTATTGACATTACATGTCACTCATTGTGTTCAAATATTGTAGAAAATTGATGTGATATTAAATAATATATCAATAAACTGAATGGTTATCTAATTTACCCCAGATTTTTCCTTATTTTACGTTGGCTGATTCTTTTGACAATAAAGTTGATTGTACACAAAGTTCAAATTCACATAAGCATCATCTTTGCTAGCCAAGGGTTTCCGATCCGAAATCAGAAACCTTTGGCTAGCGAAGATGCTTCAGCATTTGTTGTATGCTGTACTGGTTCCATATATATCACTGTGTCTACCTTGTAAAAAAAATTATTTTGCCAATAATGATGCTAGAGTAGCTCCCCATTTTCAAATCCTTTTCCTCAAACTAATTCTTAAAAATGTCTTATTTTTACAATGTGTTTACTGGAACTCTCCTACAAACTCTGTACAAAGTTAAAAGTTTTCTTGCACAACATCAGAAAAAAATATATTAGCAACATCCCTCACACTTTCTGATGCAGTATAGCCAAATATTGGTAAGAATCGGTAATATTTGATTGTTAAAGAAATGAACAAAGTCTTCCTCATATTGTACTGTTTACATTTCTAATAATTTTCCCTCAAGAATAGTTATATCAAGGAACTACAGTTTGATTCAAAGGAGGGGAGGAATATCTGTCTTGGAAAATGTTGAATATAATGTCCTCGAATGGCAAGAATATAAGTAACCTATCCTTACCTACCCCCTATAAAAACCATTTCATTTAAAACAAAAACCACCCCCATCACCACAACG